GTACCTCCCTTTCTAGAATCACATGGGCCACCTAGGCCATCTATTCCAACCCACACTCAGAAGTGGGTGGGGCTGATGTCCCAGCGACATGATGCATCCTGGGTTCCTCGGGATTGTGCTGAAATTCGAACTGCAAGGAGGTTCTGATGAGCCTGAATCACCTTGGAGGGGTGATGAAGAAAGAGAGCACACTCTGTTGATCTCAGGAAGCCTATAATCTTCCTGATTGATCCGGGAAAGGCTCTCAAGCCAGCGGGGAGAAAAAGATGGCCATTGCCTATCTGAACAAAGCTGGGACAGCTGATCAATGGAAAAAGCATGAAAGATTGAGGAGCAGTGTGAATGATCTGGGTGAGAAATTTCTCACTTCTAATTGTTATTGAGGAACGAGTTCCATGGAAACTAGCCTGGGAGAGAGTGAGACCAAGAAGGTGGAGGTGGATTTGTTCTTCCACCTCCCAAGAAAAGCTGTGAGAAAGCCAGAGAGCTATTTTTAAAACCGGAAAGAAGAAAAGAAAATTTTATAAGAGAGTGAAAGAACCTTAAAACTAGGAAGCTGGACTGGGGATTTCAAATATAATATTGGCTAATTTGGAAAGCTTTGAGGGATTATAAAATTTGGATTTAAAGAACTTTTTTTTGTTGGAAAGAGGAGAGAACAGTGACACCTGCTTGCAGAAGTGGGACAAAATAAGATAATACATAACTTTGAAACTTTGAAAGCAGAAGAAGATAAGGGTTGGTTGTTAAAATAAATAACATCCATACCAGCAAGCTGTTTATACCAGATAGCTAAGACAGAAAACAAACCACTGAGACTTTTAAAAATAGTTTAGCTCTCAGATTTTAAGTAGAAGCTAAGTAGACAAAGTGAACAATAAATACTTTCCTTCCTCTTTGTTTGTTGCTCTGTGAACTCTCCCTTGAAGATATAAGACAGCTGACAGGTTGGACTCTGGGACTCTAGGTGGGCCTATGTGGATTATACATTTAACAAGAGAATGGACATTTTTTGAAGAATGAAGGACTAGCAACTTAATAACTCTTGGATTACAATTTTTACTTCCACTCCCACCTTCCTCTTGGATTATAAATAATAGTTTATCTCTTTGTCTTTGTGGATTATAATCACCTGTGAACTCTCCCTTTGAAGATACAAGACAATTGGCTGGCTGAACTCTGGGATTTGGTGGGCCTATGTGGATTACAATTTAACAAGAGAATGGACACTTTGTGAAGAATGAAGGGCTAGCAATTAAATAACTCTTGGATTACAATTTATATTCTTACTTTCACCTTTCCCTTTGATTACAAATAATGGTTTCATCACCTTAGCTTTGTGGATTATAACCACGTGTCTCTGGTATTATAATTAATTAATTATAATCAAACTATAAGTACAATTAAAGCATCATAAAATGAAAACCACATCTGCACCATTCTCAGCATCATCACCAGAGGCATCCAGTCCAGCAGGCCAAAGACAGTTGGGTGTGATGCTTCAACATGACAAGATGAACATGATGCAGACAGAGATTAAAGCCCTGCTCCAAGTTATACATGAAGATCTTAAAGAAAGGATAGGTAAAGTAGAGGATAAAATAGAAAACTTTCAACAAACAATGGCTAAAAATGAACAATGCACCCAGAAAGTGGAAGAAAATTCTGAACAAACAGAAAAGAATGAAGGAGGTTGATCATAGACTTACACTGGCAAATAAAAATCAGGAGAAAACAATACTATTATTGAGATGGATAAAGTTGACTATTATCTACATTTTCAGAACATAGAGGAAGAAAAAGGAGAAAAATTGGTGGAAATAATGGCAAAGCTGCTGGCAAACAATTTAGAGATACCCAAAGGAAAGATGCTTGCTGAAATGGATGAAACATTTTGAGTTCATACCAGATATGTGACAAGAAACAGACTTTCCAGAGAGGTACATGTGAGATTTACTAAAAAAGCAATAAGAACAGAGATACTACAAAGAGCAGGGGATGAACCCATAAAATACAAGGAGAAAGAAATAGTGGTTCTAAAACAGATTCCCAGAAGAGTAAAAGAGATAAGAAGGGAATATCATTTTTTGACAAAACAGGTTATTTAGAGTAGAGTAAATTTTAGATGGTGACTTGGATGGAGCAAAGATAGAGATTAGATTCCATAGAAAAAGCAGAAAAATTTATGGCCACCATTTTGGGACACAAGAGGGAGTGATAGTAAGAGTTGGAAAGGTGGACAGACAACAAGTAGAAGCCACAGGAAAGAGAGATATAAAAAAAAGATGGAAGAGAATCAGAGGAAATAGAAAAGAGAGAAGGGGCAAGAGCAAAAGAACAGAGAGAGATAAGAGTGACTAGAACAACAAAACTTATTTACAAGTAAATTATTGAAGGAGAAATAAAACTATTGTCAATTAACATAAATGGATTGAATTTGGCTATAAAAAGGAAAAGGACATTTAGCAATTTAGCAAAATTAAAGCTGGATATAATCTGCTTACAAGAGGTACATATTAAAAAGCAACATAATAAGTTATAGGAATACCCCAAAATTGGGAAACTATACACTTCTCTATCACAACGTAAGAAAAGAGGAATAGATCTCTATATAAAAGAAAAAATAAATGCTAAGCAAATACTTATGGATGAAGAAGGGAGGATTTTGATTGTGGAAATAACAATGAACCATAAACAGATACTCCTGGTAGCAATTTATGCACCAAGCAGTAAACAAGAGGACTTTTATAGAAATTACATAAGAAAATAGTAGAATTGGAGTATGAAAATATTTGTGTAGTGGGAGACTTCAGTGCAATTATAGATGCAAAACTAGATTATAAAACCAGAAAAGTGAATAAAAAAGTGAGGAAAACGTTACCAAAGGCTTTTTTAAAATGGGTGAAAAACTAGGCATCCAAGACTCATGGTGAGAGATACATCCTAAGGAGAATCAATATTCATTTTATTCAAATAGGTACATGTCTTAGTCAAGAATAGATATATTATGGATGTCAGCCAAATTGAATTGAATATAAAAACAAGTAACTGGGCAGACCATAATCCAATCAAAGTTACATGAAAAGTACAAAAAAGAAAACTAAGATGGATGTTGAATCAATCAATATTAAAAGATAAGGAATTTATCCAATTCATGGAAAAAGAATTAGACTTTTTCTTCAAAGAGAACAGAAAAGAAGAGAACTCACTACAAAATGTATGGGATACAGCCAAGGCCAGGGGTGGGATTCAAAAATTTTAGCAAATGGTTCTCTGCCCAGTTGTTGGGTAGGCATGGGCATGGTGGGAATGGATTAGTCAACCTCCTGCACTATGGTGGGGGGCATTTTTGCCCTCCCTAGGCCCCAGTGGCTTTACTCGAGCCTCTGGGAGGTCAAAAATGCCCTCCCTGGGCTCTGGAGCCTCTTGAAAGCCAAAAACAGGCCCATTTCCAGCCTTCCTGAACTTCCAGGAGGCCCATTTTTCACCCTCCCCAAGCCTCTGCATGTGCTCTGCACTTACCTGCATCCAAAATGGATGGTGTGAGGACTCCTGGGAGGGGCGGGGTGGGTGGGGCAGCCTGGAGTATATTCAAATGATTGATTAACAATGGTGTTAATGTATTTAATATTTGATTGAAAATATGAGAATATATACAATGTAATTGTAATTGAAGACTATGAAATGGAAGCACAAAACAATTTGTAAACCAACCGACACACTGTATGTATATATATATGGAAGATGGCTTGATGTTTTTATGTTTTGTTTGTCTGTTTGTCTTAAAAACCAATAATTTTTTTTAAAAAGAAATATTATTCCAACACCCACTGCATCCAGAAATTCAAATAAAAGTACAGTAGATACAGTAGATGCATTTCTACCCTCTTGTTTTAAGAGGTATAAACAAACAAGCAACTTTTGCAAATACTTATGTTTCTTTATTTCCAATATTGAAGACTTTTTAGTTCTTAAACAACAGTGCTGAAAACATGCATAATTCTTGCATCAGTGAAATGGTCTTACCAGTTTTCACTAAAACTGAAATTAATTTGTTTTCTCGTTTGGATGACAGTAATATATTTTCTGCAATGGAATCTACACTGCTTGTGCTGGCTTTGGAAGAGGAATGCTCAATAAGTAATCTGTTATTGCACTTGGCAAATAAGAGGCAGGCAGAAAGAGGAATTTTGCATCCCAGCCAGCTGAGTAACGGGTACGAGGATAGCGAGACGTCAAAGCATGTTCTATGCAATCGGTGACCCAACAGAAGTTCTTGCTGCACTTCTTCACATTGTTGAGCATATATCTGTAATCTAAGAAATATGAAGCAAAAATCAATCAATGGGTTATCTTTCTATAGTAGTTTCTATGCTATATTTTATATAGAAGAACTATGAGGATTCCAACTCTCTGTTCTGGGAGAAGGGCACAGTGGGAGATAAGGTGTCAGGTTCAGCCCAAAGGGGTAGCTGAAAATATTTAAGATGCTTCCAAAGAGGAATGGCTATGGGATGGGTAGGGACTATCAATTCAAGGCCAATTCGGGCCTGTCATGAGGTGAACTGAGATAATCACTTCAAGCAGGATGCATTAAACATCCTGAAAGCGTAACAGATTGTTATTTATCATGTTATTTTACAGTATTTGTTCTGTGCCAAGATGGAGCAACATGGGATTTTCTACCAAATGTGGGAAAATAACCTGGCTAGTTTGCCCTTTGACTGTCAGTGAGGGAATAAAGGACAACTGTTCCTGACTTATTTCAAGTAGCCAAATGTCTTGTGTTGGCTTTGGTTTCCTTTATGATTCCTGCTCCTTTTCCTACTATATAACACATACACAGACAAAAACCCTTCTAGGGTTCTTCTTTTACTCACATGCAT